GAGTGCTAAATTAATATATTTACATCTTCTCCTCCCACAAGCCGCACTTTTACGGGTAAACGCCCCATATTGCATATTCATTGCAGAAAAAGTACTAAATGGATAAGAGGCGCTATTTAGCACGTTTTAAAGACCAAATCCTTTTAGCACGCTGTTGATAGATAAGTTTGTACATTTTTTAGCGTGCGCAGTGAAATAGCTCACATTTTTATACACGCAAACCTTTGATAGATCCGGCCCTAAGTGTTTATCAGTCTGAGTATTGATGAGTAAAAGTGTGAATATTAGAGATACTGATGGGATTAATATGATCAACATAACCAACACATTAAGAGCTTCATAGATTTAGTCCTTTTATGGTTTATTCCATGATGTGTAACTAATAGAATCATTAATAATATTCAGAACTGAGAGTTTCAATTTTTTTTTTATTTGCAGTAAAATATGTTCTAATTCTCAGTATTCTGAGTATATCACATAAACATTCAACAATATAAAATAAGGGCTCAAATGTAACCTGGACAGATGTTCAGACCTGAGAGTTTCCAGTTTGCAGTTTGGACTCTTCAGTCCAGAAAACAGCAGCTTCAATCCAGAACCCTGCAGCTTGTTGTTACTCAGATCCATCTCTCTCAGATTAGAGGACTGGGAGCTGAGAACTGAGGCCAGAGCTTCACAGCTTCTCTTTGAGAGGTTACAGTCATTCAGTCTGAAGAGACAGAAATGAAGAACTATGATTTAATAAAAAAAAAAAATGCATATTAAACAGAACATATGAATCACAAACATGTCTATGTTGTCTGACAAAAAAAAAAAGTATTTTATGTAATTATATGACATTACCGGGGTATATGAAACAATTTTTATAGCTGCATCAAAATTTACAGGAATGCTTTTCAGAAGCCCTGCAATGCAGGCGGTTGCTTTTGTAATGACATAGACCCTGGAACAAACTACAGGCAAGTGCTGGGATCTGGAGGTTTGTTCACTTTCTCCACCAGAGGGCGCACAAGATCTCCTGGAGCATGAGCAGACCGCACCACCTGTCTCTCATCTGCTCATCAGGAGATCCGTACTTAAGGAGGCGAAAGGCTTCACTCCAGTGCCAGAGTGTTTGCCAGTAACAGTTAGCAAGCCTGAGCCAACCTGCCTGTCTGTGAACTCTGACTTTCTGTAAACCAAACCTGATCCCTTTTTTCTACTCTCTGCCTCCCAGGTTGATCCTGCCTGAATACCTGAAACTCTGGAGAGTTTCTCTGCCGGTGATCTGTCTGCTCGTTCTCAGTAGGACTCTGGAGAGCAGCCTCAGTCAAGTATCTGCCTGCCTGCTCTCAGAAGATTACTGGAAGGAAAACTCAATCTGTGATCTGCCTGCACTCTTTAAGCTCTGCCTCCGCCCTCAGCCTGCCAACAACCTCTGGACCGTCTAGGTTCCCC